GGCACATAACAACAACAACAACAACAGTATTTTCTACTATTGATCTATGCCTATTCTCACCAGTCTTAAAGGCCCCACTGAATCTTTCCTACATGACCCTGGTCCTCATTCTGCTCTCTAAACTCTGCTACTGCAGTGATTTCCACCTTTCTTCATCTCCTGACCCTTTCTCCCTTCCCCTTTTGGATGTTTATCTACATCTTACTTGTTATCTTTCTGGTTTTATAATAATGGTCTTATGCAGTATTTGTCCTTATTACACTGAGTTCACTCAGCATAATGCTTTCTAGACTCTCCCAAGTTTTACAGCAGTTTATGCAATCATTGTTCCTTGGTGTTGTATTGTTGTTGTTATGTGCTGTCGAGTCACCTGCAACTTATAGCAACCCTACTACGTACAGCAACTCTGAAGCCCTGTTCTGAGCCAGTTTCACTAATTCTGACACACCAACCCCCATCGCCCCAGCCACTGTATCAAACCATCTCATCCAGAGTCTTCCTCTCCTGTGCTGTCTCTCCACCCTGACGAGCATGATGTCCTTCTCCAAGGACTGGTCTCTCCTGACCACATGCCCAAAGTACGTGAGACAAGCTTTAAAATCCTAGCCTTCAAGAAGAAATTTGGTTTCACCCTCTCCAAGACAGACCTATTTGTTTTCTTGGCAGTCCATGGTATGTTCAAGACTCTTCTCCAGCACCACAATTTGAAGGCATCAATTCTTCTATCATCCTTAGTCCAGTTCTCTGAAAGGTACACTTTAGTCTCTAGACTGACATTGTTGCTTTTCAGCACTCTGGAGAGGTTCCTGACAACAGATTTTCCCAGTGCAAAGAGATCTGGAAGATATATATTTATAGATCTGGAAGAGATCTACATTTATTCCCACTCCAAAAAAAGTGGCCTGAGTGTGGAAATTATTGAATATCACTAATATCACATACAAGCAAGATCCTGCTGAATATTACCCAGAAACAAATGGGAAAGTACATCAGCAGAGAACTGCCAGATGTGCAAATTGGGTTTAGAAGAGGCCATGGCACTAGGGACACCACAGCCAATATTAGATGGATCTTGGCTAAAAGCAGAAAGTACCAGAGGAATGTCTGTGTTTCATTGACTATGCAAATGCATTTGACTATGTGGATCACAACGAATTTTGGCTAACCTTGAGGACAATGGGGATCCCAGAACACTTAATGGTGCTCATGCAAAACCTACACTTCGACTAGGAAGCAGTAGTCAGAACAGAGCAAGGCAACACTGCTTAGTTTAGGATCAGGAAAGATTTGCAGCAGGGATGCATCCTATCTCCATACTTTTTCAATCTATAAGCAGAACAAATCATTTGAGTGGCTGGACTTTTATGAGGAGGAATACTCAATACTCATCAATACTGCAATTACTTGGGTTTGCTGAATCTTTGCCACTGGGGGTGTCAAATTCCAAAAGGGTTTTCTATTGTGGACAGGTTTTGGTGGAGCTCCCTGATTAAGACCAACCAGGAAGCAGATGGGCCATCTACTTCCTAAAGGCTTTTGAAAACCCTACTAACATTAAACAAAGAGGATAGTTACAGTTGTGTGGTGGTAGAGCCCAGACTGGAAATTAGTTGAAATGAGGACTTTAGAAGATTGCTAGGAGGTGCTATTTCTTGGAGAGAAACATGATGTTGGAAAGAGAGGAGAGTCGGCAAAGGAGAGGAAGACCTTCATCCAGGTAGACTGACAAGGTGACTGCTTGGGCTCTTGTGTAGCAGGAAGAGTGAGGATGGCGCAGGACAAGACTAGGTTCAGATCTTCTGTTCACAGGGTTGCTATGAGTAGTAACTGACTCGATGGCATCTAACAACAACTCATCAACAACTGAATTATGCATTTGTTGTGATGACACAACCTTGCTTGCTGAAACTGAGGAGGACATGAAGTGTTTGCTGCAGAAGGTCAAGGTCTGTAATCTTCAATATGGATTGAAGCTCAACATCAAGAAAATAAAGATTCTCACCTCTGGGCCAACTTGCAGCTTCATGATAGACGGTTAAGAGACAGATTGCTAACAACTTCAGCATGCTTGGTTCCACATCAGCACTCTTGGCACCAACAGTAAGAAATGAAAAGATTCATTACATTGAGAAAATCTGCTATCAGGGACTTCTCTAGAGTACTGAAGAGCTACGATGTCAGTCTGGAGAGTAAGGTGCATCTGATACAGGCCACAGTCTTCACAATTACATGCTATGCATCAGAGAGCTGGACAGTAACTAAGGATGATAGAAGAAGGATCAATGTCTTTGACTTGTGCTGAAGAAGAGTGTTGAACATACTGTGGACTGCCAGAACAAACAGGTCTGTCCTGGAGAGGGTGAAACCAAGCTGCTTCTTGGAGGTAAGGATCTGAAGCTCCATCTCACATATTTTGGGCACACAGCCAGGAGGGACTAGTCCTTGGAAAAGGACATCATGTTTGGGAGGGTACAGGTACAGCACAGGAGAAGAAGATGCAGGATTAGATGGATTGACTCAGTGACTGGAGAAATGGGATTAGGTCTCTTGGAGACAATGAGATTGGTTCAGGATAGGGCTAATTAGTTCAGAACTAATGTACATAGGGTCACTATGAGTCGCAGATGACTCAATGGTACATAACAATGATAAGAGTCATTTATGGAGCTCCGATGCCCTAGTGGTAAGAAGCTGCACTGCAATCCCAAAGGCACATGGTTTGAATCTTCTAGAACTCCTCTGCTGGAGAAAGATGGGAAATCTTCTCTCTTGTGATTTACTGCCTCTGAGAACCTGCTGAAAGGTCAGCTATGGGTTGGTTTCGACTTGATGGTTCACAATACAGGTCACTGAGTCAGAAATGAATTGCCTAGTGGGTAGGGAGTTGTGCTGTTAACCCAAAGGTGACATTAACCTCTCTGGCATCTCAGACCCACTGATGTCTCTGAGGAAGAAAGGTAGGCAGTCTCCTCACATGTAATTAGAGTCTCTGTGCTATTTAGTTATTCTGAAGGGCCGCTACATGGAATCTGACATCACACACTACCTGTGAGTACGTACCACGTACTGCCATTGTGGCAATTCTGGCTCAGGGCACCCCCACACGGCATGGAGAACTGCTCCATAGGGTTCCCTGGCTGTAATCTTTGCAGGACATCTGCAGGCCTCCAACAGAGCACAAGGTGGGCTCGAACTACCAAGCTTTAGGATAATAAAGACTTAAAATCAAACCACTACTGAGCCAATTCCAACTCATGTGATCCTAAGGCTATAAATCTTTATGGGACACACAGTCTCATCTTTCTCCCAAGGAACAACTGCTGGGTTTGAACCACTAACCTCTCTGTAAGCAGCCCACACTTACCCCACTGTACCAGCAGGGCTACTCAGGTTAGCTGTCAAGTATAAATCATGTGCACCAGCGCACATGCTCTGGTGGCCTAGTGGTAAGAAGCTGCACTGCAATTTCAAAGGTATGTGGTTTGAATCCACTAGGTGCTTCTGCAGAAAGATGGGCAATCTCCTCCCATACAATTTACTGCCTCTGAAAACCTGCTAGAGGGTCAGTTATGAGTCAATTCTGACTCAAAGGTGCACAATAACATCAGATGCAGAGAATGGTCTTCACTAAATTATGTTTGACATTTTACTACCTTCTAAGAAAATTAGTTCTATGATTTACTCGAAGTTAGAAGTTGCCTTGTAACTAATAAAAAAATTAGCCAAAATCAGTCCTTATTTTCAAAGGCAGTGGTCAAAATGAATGAAATGTGAAAATCAGGAAGATGGAGACTGAATGATAACTGGAGGAATTCAGACCTGTCTGGGTTTATGGAGACAGTAAATAGCACCCTAAGTCCAGGTTCAGGATGACAGTAGTGTTCTAAGTTCAGGATGATATTAAATGGTTGCCTAAGTTTAGGACAATAATCAAAGTTCCCTATTATAGTCCATTAACCTGATTGATTAGCTAGCTGTGAGACTGTTATTCCAGGCACTAAGGATATGCAGTCAAGTCATTGAGACATGAAAAAACCTGGATCAATGCCGAGAAGAATGCACCATCAGTAAGGAAGGCTACCTACCTACCTGAGCACCAAGCACAGGGCGCTGGCAAATCACCACAGGGAGAGACATGGAAGCAACAACCTCATCAGACCCCTGGACGCTTCCCTCCTGGACCTCTCCACGCTCCTATCCCCTCACACACTCTCTGAGCACCCCTAAAAAGCCTGCCTTGACGCTACCCTGTCAGAAAGGGGTCTTTAAAACACCCACACTGCTCCTTCTCTCTCAGGTCACTAACCTCTGAATATAGAGCACTTCCGGGACCCACTCCTCGTCTCTACTTGACTGGCTCGCAGTGCCGGGCAGCCGACCACCGTCTTTCCCCGCGTAAATGAAGACAGAACACAGACTGCAGACACACCACAGGGCACCCTTACTCACACTGTGAAATCCCAGCGCCTTCCAGACAGTGAAGCTGATCACGCCGACTCCACACCAGGCGTAAAGTGAGCCCCAGCCCAAGGCACGCAAGGCGAGTGCAGAACCGCTCTCTGGTAAGGCGGCCGTGGCCATGCTTCCCTGAGGCAGAGACAGTGGGAAGAATCAGTTCAGAACAAAGTCATGTGTTCAGAGTGTTTGAACTCAATTATCCTCCGGATAAGCACAAGCTATCAGGATTCTGACATTCTCTGTTCAAATCCCAGCTTTCTTTTGAGTAATCACAAGATAGGGGGTACACCATAGTTTAGTCCTGGTAGTACGATATTTAAGCATTCACCTGCTAAGTAAAAAGCTGGTAGTTCCAATCCACCAGTGGCTCTGGGAAGAACATCTGTTCTCTAGGCAGCAGTTTTCCTCTGGCCTCTGGGGTCATCATGAGTCAGAACCGCCTGGATTGCACCCAACCACAGTCACAGCCCAGCCAGCTTCCCTGACAGCCTTGAGTAAGGGAGAGACCACACCAGGAGCTGGGCGAGCCACAGGGGAGACGGGACAGCAATGCTTCCTCACGAGGCGACAGGGCAACAGAGTTCATTTTCAAGAAAATCATCAAGCTGGGAAAACCTGGCATGAGCAGTATAATAAGCACGAGACTGAAGAACTTGAACATCTAAAGAGAACATCCAAATACAACGTTTAATTGGCAAATAACATGCATCAACAACTCAAGAGGCAGAATACATTTGTTTCGTAACTTGGGGAAAATGTTCCCTCTCATTCACAACAGAAATGCAAATTATAAATAGCTCTATATGACATTAAAAGGTTTCTCTTTGTTTTTAAATAAGATCATCATATGCTGGCTAATGTGAAATGACCCTCAGGAAACCCAGAAGCAATCTGGCTTGCCAAGATCGTTTGAAAAGCACTTTGTAGTATGTGTCAGCTAATAAAACATGTATGTTCCTCCACCCCACTACTGAGAGGGGTTTTTCCTGAGGAGGTAATCAGAAATGCAGATGAATGCTAATGTGGAAACTAGTTTCTAACACAAAAACAACTGGAACACCTACACAAAACAAAACAAAAGGCTAAGAAAAGGTCACACATCATTTCACCATAACCATTAACAACATCAAAGTCTTTACGGAGTAAGTCAGATAATAAGGATTCATTTCATGGTTGACAATTTCTTTTTTAAATGAAAAAACTGTATTTACTAAGAAGCATTCAGAATGTCAATAAACAGCTACAACTATTTTTTGGTTTTTTTCTCTCTTGCAATTAAAGGTATTCTATTAACAGAACAATTGTGTTCTCTAAGCTGCATCAGACAACTGAAGATGAGAAATAACAAACGACCATCTCCGTATATGACTAAGTTGTGCTGTGCGCCAACAAGAACCTGCTTTAAGTCTCCACACCAGTTTACACGCCCCATACTGTGCCAGGCAAGGCTGGTGGCTACTGAAAATACCCCCAGGACAGGGCTGTCTAGAGACACATTCGATAGTGTGTTAACTATATAAAAAAAGGACACTGTGTAGTTTAAAACAAAAGACTATATATGTTTCATACTCGTCACATTTTTCATTTTGTTTTCTAATCAGAAACAAGTTGATTACAGCTTCCGAGAAAGTGAAATTCTTCATTATTTCTAAGTGTTTTTGTTTGAGTGGTGTTTAGTGCTTTAGCAGATAGGATGGTAAAAGAAAATGATAATTTCCAAATATTTTTCATGTGAGAAACATTTTGTGCTTCAGTAGTTCTCTGCGCATTAAGGCTGACCTGTATTTCTGATTAAATTCTACAGGTGCTGTTTCTAAGACTGAATTACATCATGTTCAGTCAACCTGTAAGGATTAAACGAGTGTCTCTGAATCGGTTATCTAGTTAGTTCAAAATCAATTAACCCTTACGGGCTGTTACTTTTTCCTTTGCTTCCTGTAAATTCCTGTACTGGAATTATCCCAAGCAGTAACTGTCTTTAATTTGATTTACACCATGGACAAGTTTCTACTTTTTTAAAGTATTTCCATTATTTAAGGCAATGGAAGTCATCCTGATCAAGGGAAGCGTTGGTTGCACAGTAAATGAATGTAATTGCTGTCAATAAATTGTGTATTTTTAAAAAGCTGAATTGGCAAATGCTGTGTGACTGCTTTGCAATGACAGAGGAAAAGAGTCTCCAGGCCGCTTACATACAAACATGTAGAGCAAACCCATCGGAGGATTTGGCTCCTTGCTTTGTAGGTGTAGGGGATGGTTTCAAGACAAGGCCTGGCCAACTGGCCTAATAATACAGCTCATGCTTCTGTTCTACCTCTAGCTCACTGCATACTATTCAGGCAGCCTGGTTGGTGGTACAGTGCCTAACCTATCAGGCTGCTAACTCAGAAGTCAGCAGTTCAAATCCAACAGGTGCTGTGCTGGAGAAAGATGCTCAATAGTAGTCTATAGTCTGTGCCTGCAAAGATTTAGAGCCTTGGAAACCCACTGGAGGGTTGCTGAGGGTTGAAATCAATTCAATGGCCATGGATAAGATGCAATTGGTCTCCATTCACCAGGACAACAGAGAAAAGGACAATCAGGAAGTGGAGGCAGAATTTCCTCCATGAACAACTGCCTCCTTGGCCAGACCAGAACTGAATGGTGCCCGTATCCATACTCTAACAAACATTTCCTGGGGTCTGCACGCCCGTCTGTTCACGCAGAGCCTCTGGTAGATCTGAACTGCCAGCGCAATGCAGTCTCTGGGTTGAGGAGTGCAACTCCATCCCTCGTTTTAATCTACGAACCGGAATCCTGATCAAAAGGTGGGGTATACAGAAGAGCATTTCACATTATTATGGAATCCAAGCTATCTGGAACCACGGCAGCTAGATGAACCACAAAAACGACCGCCCAGGGATAATCTTCAAACCAGAAATATTCCTTGAAGTCTTCTTACAACCAAACACCACCAAAATTAAAGCCACATGTAACTCCTAGCAACTCTCCGCCAGACTGCCAAGGCTGGACATGTTTTATAAGAGACTGCCCATCTTTCTTTCAGAGCAGCTGGTGGATTTAAACTGATGACCTTTTGGTCAGCAGCACGGCACACAACACTAGAGTGTCTGTCATGAGCATTATGCTCCTCTGGTGGTAAAGAGCTGTGCGGTCCACTCAAAGGCACAGAGTGCAAATCCACCAGCTGCCCGCAGGAGAAACCTTGGCAGTCTCTCCTGTTCAATTTACTGCCTCTGGAAGGACTGGGTCAGCTCTAAGTCAGCTCCTGATTGTTCATAACAACAACATCTGTATCTAACTGGTATCAGCAACTCAAAAATGAACTAGGAACCTTAAAAGGCAGTGAGTTTGCTAACGGGAAAGAAACGATTCAGAAATAGGGGGTAAGGATGGCTGCACAACAAAGAATGTAATTAATGCCACGGAATTGCACATGTGGAAATAATTGGTATATGCTCCACCATGCATATTCTCAGTAACAATATTTTAGAAAGATACTTTTATCTAAATCTTCTGCTGTCTTTACAGTGATGTGATAAATGACAAATGTCCTTTATTCTTAAAGCTAGATTGTTCAAGTATTTCACCCTTCACAAGTGTGGCCCTTTCCCACCTGTGCAGTTTATTACTAAAACAGCAGAAATGGAGGAAGAGTACATCACACCCGTAAAAGAAAAGCTTACTTTACTATATACATATAACATATTTTCCTCACTTGGCCAATTGGCAGTATTATGATAACTGGAGAAGAGATTGAGATTATTAACAGTTTCACCTTGGCTGGTTCCACAATCAAGACTCATGCATCAGCAGTCAGGAAATCACAAGAGGAATTGTATTAAGAAAAGCTGCTGTGAGAGACCTCTCCAGAGTACTGAAGAACAATGATGTCAGTCTAGAGACTAAGGTGTACCTGATCCAAGCCATGGTCTTTACAGTTACTTGCTATGCATCAGAGCTGAACAATCACTGAGGATGACAGAAGAGTTGATACCTCTGAGTTGTGGTGCTGGAGAAGATTATTAAATACACCATACCAAGAGAACAAAGAGGTTTGTCCTGGAGAGGGTGAAACCAAGTTTCTCCTTGGGGTAAGGATTTGAAGCTCCATCTCACACACTTGGGGCATGTTGCCAGGAGGAACCAGTCCTTGAAGAAAACCATCATGCTTCAAAGAAAACCATCATGCTTCAAAGGATGGAGGGAGAGTGCAGGAAAAGATCCTTGATGAAATGGATTGACAATGAATTAGGGTGAAATCTCTCTCAGGGAGGAGTGATAGGGAATGGCAAAGGACACACTGACAAAGGAGATCAATCAGAACTGGTTTTGACAAGCACTGTGGCAATGGGACAATTAAAACAGACTTTCAAGGGAAAGAAAAAAAAGAGAGGAACAAACTGGGG